AAAAAAAAAAAAAAAAAAAAATCAAAAAATTTGTAGGAATCTAAAATAAAGAGTTTTTCAGCAGACCCTCTGCGGCGGCACAATCAACTCGGTACCTCATATCTCGAAATCTCAGATTATTTTCAGCCATGGACACTGCTGCGGCACAATCAATTCCGGTGCCGGAATCAACCAAAGTCTGCATCGTTTGCTCTTACTGTTACTCAGATAAAGCGGTTCCGTCGTTCGCCGTAATGATCGCCGATGTGCAACCGGAAGCCGGCGGCGATGCTAGTGATGAGTCAGTCATCTCCATTCGCCCCACGTTTCTCATCGATGGAATCTCTTTCGACGACGGCCTCTACAATTTCTGCGTTCTGAATTCGACCCTATACATGATCGAGATGGGCATCCATACCATCGACCATTCCCTGGGAGGGAAATCGGTATATACCTACGATCTGTCGCGGTACCTGAAAGACGGTGGCAGCAACGGCGGCAGCGGCGTCTGCGTCGACGGTGAAATTTTGTATAAAGACGATATGGTGGCCGCGCCGGAAATGCTATACCCCAAATACCTTCCTTTCGTGACCCCCACGCCCGACGGAAAGAGGATTGTGGTATTTTCATCTACTATTAATATGAGCTTTTTAAACGAGGATCCTAACACAGGTGCCCCTAATGCCGTCGATGAAGACATCGATTTCGAGGTGTACGACCCGCAAAACAAGGCCTGGCGGAAGCTCCCGTCGCTACGCGACTACCAGCTCAGGACGGGGAGCTATTATCCTGACATTGAAATACAAGGATTCACGTTCCTCACGAGCTCAGACATGCTTTTCCAAATGAGTGAAGGAATTTTCGTAATTGATATCAATATGCCGGAGATCGGTTGGCATAAGCAGGATTCGTATCTTGGGGCCAAGAGAATCCCTTTCGAAGATCGTTTTTTCGTAATCGAAGATGATAAGATTCAGTTGTGCCTCGATACTTCTAGGGCTTATGACATTTCCCCTTGGGCCAAGACCAAGTACAAGGAACACTTGTTTGATTCTAGCATGGCCTCTCGGTTCCCTACATCATATATCGCTTTGGATGCGAATGTCGGGTTTGGAGTACGGCATTCTTTCAGGACTGATGTGGCTTATGATGAGGACGATCTTCTTGTGGTGCACCTGCAAACGGCCCTAGATATGTACACGCAGATCGCGTACATGCTTTTGGATGTGTCTCGGTATAACCTTAAGAAATACAAAGATGATGATATGACGAAGAAGAAGAATAAGAAGAAGAAGAAGAAGGAAGTTGTGGAGGGAGAAGATCTTGAGAAGAAGAGTTTCCTGAATGCTAGCTCCGTGGATTCGTTCAAGTTCAAGCTTGACACAGAGCCGTGCTGGAGTTTTATTCCACACTGTGTGTCAATTATTCGAGCATAAGTGTATTCTAACTCCCGTTGCTATCTTTGCTTGTGTTTTGGGATTATGTTTACTCAGTTTTGAATGGGTTTTAGTTTTAGCAAATGATTGTCTTAGCTGTGTTTTGGATGGTAGTTTTATTCTGCTTTACCATCACAGTAAATTATGTGTTCCCTTTCGCTTGTCCTTGAATACATACTAGCATGGCTCTGGTTGCTTGCCTTCTTCGGAATTAATTTTCGTAAGAATACTTAGTGCAAA